GCACGCCAAAAGTTGTTGCGCACGCAACGACAATCAACTCTGGGGGTGCTGTGAAGGACTGTGGGAAACTGTATTGACGAGCGTGCAGAATCCAGAACAAGTTTCAGTTGATTAAAATAAATAAATCTATGTGCCGCTGTCTGCTTTTAGGGATGAGATGACTAGCGTGTATCCATTGATTGGAGAGATCAGGCAATAAGGATTGTACATGGAGATACACTAGGATAAGGAGCACGCTAGTCAACTTATGCGTCATTGTCTCTATTTGCGATTGTTGTTGTCGTTGCAGATGGACTGAGGATTTGAATCGGTATGCTTTGTAACGGTAATCCTGGAGTGCTTGAGTCACAAGTGGATGTTGGAATCAATAATGACATGTCATCATATCTATTTTACTACTAATTACTACAGGACCTGTAAGACCGCTAACAATTGAATCGTATTGGTCCAAATCACAAAACCCGTTCTTGATACAATTCTGTCAAATCTACCATCTTTTATCTTATGTTGATTGTTGCATGGTATTTTACCTCCGTTGTGCTGGGTACTTGTTGACAATAAAACGGAGTTGTTGGTGTTTTCAACATGAATTATTTGAAATTCTCTCAGTCATCGCTAATGTTGAAACGAAGGATCGGCATGCGCACAAAGGTAGATTTTGTCATAAATTTTGTCGCAGGGTTGTTGTAATTTGTCGTAGGTTTGTTGTAAGTTGTTGTATGTTGTCGTAAATATTTTACGACAATATTTACGACAAAAGACTTGTCGTTAATTATCTCTACTGTTCCGGAGAAATTAAACCGTGTTTTGCCCCCTACAGTAAGGGTACCCTGTTAAGAGTTTTTTTAAAAGAGAAACACCCCCTTAAGAGACAAAATTTGATGAGACACAAATTTCACAGTCTGTCTGTCACCCGTACCATTTCATGCCCATATGTCTGTCCTTCGTCTGCAAACCAGCCTTTCTGGGACATGCCGAAAAAATCTGTAACTGATTTTTTTGGTCAAAAATGGCACTCCTTCCAGAAGGAGAAAAGCGAGCGATTGTCCTTCCGCCAGTGCGAGAAATTGCAAAAGGCCTCAAATAGCTGTAGATGGTCGTGTAAACTCAGGAAAAACCTGTAGATAGTCGTGAAAATCGAAAATTCTCTGTAGATAATCGTGATTGTGAACCAATAAATAATACTTAACAAAACCACGACCATCTACAGAGAATCTTCGATCTTCACAATCATCTACAGGTTTTTTCTAAACTTTCACGACCATCTACAGGTTTTTTAGGCCTATTTCATTTAACGCACTACCTTATATTACTTAACACTAGTCGCGTAGAACAAGAAGTTCTCTGTAGATGATCGTGGAGATTCAAAGTTCTCTGTAGATGGTCGTGAAAATTCAAAAGTCTCTGTAGATGATCGTGGAATTGAACCGATAAGTATTACTTAACACATTTCACGATTATCTACAGAGAACTTTGAATCTTCACGACCATCTACAGAGAACTTTTTATCTTCACGATCATCTACAGGGAATTTTCAATTAACGCGCCACCACCTTCTATATAACAAAAGTCTGTAGATAATCGTGAAGATTCAAAGTTCTCTGTAGATGGTCGTGAAAATTCAAAAGTCTCTGTAGATGATCGTGGAATTGAACCGATAAGTATTACTTAACACATTTCACGATTATCTACAGAGAACTTTGAATCTTCACGATCATCTACAGAGAACTTTTTATCTTCACGATCATCTACAGGGAATTTTCAATTAACGCGCCACCCCCTTCTATATAACAAAAGTCTGTAGACGATCGTGAAGATTCAAAGTTCTCTGTAGATGGTCGTGAAAATTCAAAAGTCTCTATAGATAATCGTGGAATTGAACCGATAAGTATTACTTAATAAATTTCACGATTGTCTACAGAGAACTTTTAATCTTCACGATCATCTACAGAGAACTTTGAATCTTCACGATCATCTACAGATAATTTTCAATTAACACGCTACATCAATTTGTCGTATTCATACTGTAATGGAGATATAAATTTCTCCGTTGAAGATCGTTAAATTCTGAATTTCTTGGCATACCCTTTTTTGATTTGCACCCAGCCAAAAAATTGCTAGAGGATGATGTGGCCGCAAACAAGCACACGTCAATGAAACCTGAGCAGCTTCGTCAAACACGAGAGGAGTACAAGGTCTTCCCAAACAGCTATTTCAGACCTAGGATCTACCAAGCTGTTCGCAAGCTAAAATTCATCAACTATTTGAACTACGCTAGAGAAGTAAAAGACAAAATGCTGAGATCCAAACAAAAAATCAACAATGAGGAAGAAATCGACGATATCCGTAAGGAACTCTTTGCAGTGAGAAGAAAAAAACAGAAAGTAGTAGCCTAGCTTAGTAGTAATCTGTTATATAAAAATGCTTATTGCTCGTAATAGTTCTTATGTGTCCAGAGCATGACAACATCAATAAAGAAGAAATCAACAAAACGATAATACCACAAATGAGATCTTGAGCAGAAATCAGGTTGGGAAAAGCAGTTCCGAGGGACCCTAAGTTGGCATATGGTATGGAAGTTAGTACGAAAGGCGACTCATCTTGGACGAAGACATTCTTTCTTGTAGCGCATTGTCGTCGGGCAACCAATACGTTTCTGTACCATTACAATACATTTGGAAGGTGTAGCACTATCGCAACATTGTCTGCCGGAAATCAAGCAAGGAGTTGTGGTTTTCGTACAACAGTTTGGGCGATCTCTACTGAGATACGAGAGTCAACGGGTGCATAGCACTGGAAATACTCAGCCCTAATGAAGCAAGGAGGTTTCAACGGTTGCAAGCACTCAGCACTCAGCTCTGCAGTAATGAACAATAAGGGGTAGTTGTCATTTTCGAATTTGTCTGCAAGCGCAACCAGTACAGGGGGTGGGACCTCTTCAAGCGCAACCAAGTGATTGATGGGACCTCTGCAGGGGCAACCGCGCCTGTTTATTGACAACAACTTTGGCTCGCGATCAAAATACACTTAAAGGATTGACTAAAACCTCTCAATCAAAACCGCGGGACCGCTTTTCAGACCAAGATATTTTTGACATTTAATAAGAGAAAAAATCAATAAACAAATTGAATTTTTCTATTTAGGGTCTATTTTTATTTCTTTAGGCCTGTTCCATCGACGAGCGGACCGCCAAGTGAAACCTTTAGGCCTGTTCCCGTCGACGAGCGGACCGCCAAGTGAAATATACATCTTCCTGCGGCAGGGGGTGCTTTGGTCGAAAAAAAATGAAATCTACAGATTTTTTCGGGATGTCCCTGGGGGAGATGCAGCAGAAGGATTTGTTACAGCAGAGTCTTAATGTGCTATTGTTGTGCTCCTGGCACTCATCGTAGAGAGAGCGTACTAGTGTGTTGATGTAGCTACTGTTGGACATGATAGACGGTGATTGATATTGCTATTGGGGTGTATTTACGGGGGTCTGAAGCAGCTGTGAGTAGATGATGAATGATTGATCTTGGGCTGAATATTCAGCAATGACCGTTGGCCTTTGATTGCTCTAATACATCTGCTTGGGACTCAGCAGTCCAGTCAGTCATGTTACATCCCCTCTTCTTCTATTTAGGCGACTCTGTTGTAACGTCTCATCTTGGTCTGTTTTCACCTCCCTCTTCTTGATGCATGGCGGCTGGCACCAAACAAGGTAGCCGAAGAAAAATTGCCATCTAACCCTCAATTGCAAATCGGGCTGCAGGATTCTCTCTGACGTCCAGGTTGCTGGCAAGCGGCTTCAAGTGTCTGGCAGTTGCGTCCAGGTCCAAAGTTTGACTAGGTGCTTCGCGGTACAACAGTCAGAACGGGAGGATCAGTCCTCATCTTAGTCGTTGTACACACGTATTTCGGGGGAAAAGGGGGTTGCTATATCTGGTCCTTTGTCTCTGGGGCTTCATGTTCCTGCTACTCTGCCAGTCATGACTTGTACTGCATGCTGCGACATGGAGTAGTTTGTTGATGGCGGCTTTTTGTTGGGTCAACTTGTACTATGGTCTGCTGCGACAGATTGTAGTAACTTTTGGGTCTGGGGCTTAGGTCAACTTGTTTGGGGCTATCTAGGGTCTATCGTGGGTCATCTTTGGGTCAGCGTTGGGGCTTTCAAGGTGTATACTGTCTGCAGGCTTGATTTGTTTTGGGTCTATTCTTTTGTGCTTGTGATCTGTGTTTATCATTTGTGGCGCACTCGTTTGTGTGCTCTACCTGGTGGTGTTGACTTGGGCGTGATGTTGGCAACTTTTAGTTTCATCTGTGTTGCCGCCTCTCTCACTTTTTCCCACACCACGTCCGGTATTTTGTAGTCTTGTTCAAAGTCGAATGGTCCGTATACGCCATCTTCAACAATGTTGACCTCTTTCTGGTACCAGGCGTATTTGTGCGGGCTCTTGCTTAGCACCTGGTCTACTTTGCTGGGTCTGATGGGTACTGTTGGACTGTATGTTGTCTCATCGGTGAATTCTTTGATTAGGGGCCAAAAGGGGCTGTTCATTGGGGAGCCTTGCTTTGTCGCCGTGGGTTTTGGTATGTACCACTTGCAGTGATACTGTCCTTTTGTTCTTGCTAGTCTCTCGTTGGTCTCCGCCATGTCGATTTGTATCACGTACCAGTTGTTCCACCCTGATGTGTCGTCTTGATGGGCTATGACGTATAATTTGTCCTTGGATTGTGTGGTTTGTTTGTATAAGCTCTGTAGATTGAGTTCTTCTGTGATGGTTTCTGTGGTATGGACCTGTCTGGTTTGGTTGGCGCCTTCTGTATCTGTTGGTGGTGCGTCTCTGTTAATTGGCCGAGGCTGCATGCGTTGGATAGCGTCCAGTATGGATGGTGTAGGGGTGTCGTCTTCTTCTTCGTCTGATGAATCTTCCGTTGGCTCGACTTCTTCGTCCCAAATGTCTTTGATTGGCTCAAATGCGTTTTCTGTGTCTGTCGGTGTTGGCGCGTATTTACCAAAATCAACTAGTCCTAGATTCATTTCCAGGGGGCTGTGTGCTAGCGGGCTCCTCATGTTTGCTAGTCTTGTATCTGGTGTGTCCACTCGTTTGTGTAGTACTATCGTTGATGGGATCTTGTGCATTCTGAATGCTGATTCTTTGATTGGGGTCAATCCTCGCTTTTGTTAGCATGGTGCTTGTCCCTGGGATCTTTTGTAGTCTGTACAAGTCTTCTGACGCTTTCTCAATGACTCTGTAAGGTCCTTTTGTTCGTAGCACCAGTTTTGCTGGTATTCCTGCAGAGGCGTTTGATTGTACTTGTTTCCGCACCATAAGAATGTCTCCAAGGGCAAATTTCCGTCGCGTTCTGGTTTGATTTTTGAGCCTTTGCTGGTGTTCCCTTCGTTCCTCATTGAGAAGTTTAAGCAGTTCCTTTTGTCTCCAGAAAGTGGGAACATTGTCTTGATGTGCTCTAATGTGTTCTGTCCCGGCGTTTGCTGGTGTTGTGTCCTGTTTTTTCTGACGCGCCTCCGATATTGACAATGCCGCTGCTGCGTTGTCTATTGGGAATTTGAAGTGTCGTGCCACTGCTGCAAATGCTCGTTGGATATCCGTGCCATCTACTGGGGCTGCGTTCCATGCGCACGTTCCAAACATGGTGTTCATTGCCCATTCTTCGTATGTGTTCATGTCGGCTGCTCCAATTTGTTGCACTTTGTTGAGGTATTTGTGGAATCTTTCACATAGTATTCTGTCATGGTTTTCTGGACTGACCGTGTGGTATGCGATTCCAATCGTGTTGCATAGGGCTGTAAATTGATCTTTGTTTTTGCTGCCTTCGTCAATGAGGATCAATCGTGGCAGGCCTCTGACGGTGAAGAATTGCAAGAATGCTATTCTGGCCATGTTCCCTGAGTTCATGGAGCTGATGAACGCAACCGTGGCGCAACCTATCATGTTGCAAACGTACGTGACTACTCCTTTGTTTGTGAGTGTCTTCCTCAAAGTTGTGGACAGTTTGGTAGCGTTCTTTGTTGATCCTGGCGACCACACGTCCATGCAACATACGTCAAATGGTTCTTCTATTGGTGTCTGTTGTAGAATCTTTTGGTTCTTGTGGCTTGACGCGTTGGCTGCGTTGCAATGTCCGCATCCTAAGACTGCTTCTCTGATATCCTTTGCCATCCCTGGCCACCAAAACCTTGCGGCTATCCTGTAATACGTCTTGTGGAACCCTACGTGTCCTGCCATTGGTGATGCGTGGTATGCTGCTATGATTGTTGCTCTCAATCTTGGTGGGACGACCGCTCGTTGTAGTTGACGCATTGGTGCTGACTTCGGTTCTTTTGTCTCTCTCCAACTGAGTTTCTCCTCAAACAACAGTTTTCTGCTGTCCTCTTTTGTGAAACCAAACAGGCTGAGGGCTTCCCAAGGTCTGATCGTTCGGACCAGTGATGATACCTTGGCGTCGTTGGTTGCGATTGCTATTGTGCCTTGTGCTGAGATCATGGGTGTTGTGTGGAAGCTGGGGGAGATTTTGGTGGTATCGTAGATCTTGTGTTCTTGTGTGTGTCCTTGTGAGTCAACCTTGTGGACTCTGGTTTGTCCTAGCCTTGCCATGTTGAAATATCCCGTGTAGCTTTTGTTTGGTGCGTCCATAGCGTTTTCGATCGTTCCTGGCTGTGCATATGGATCTTCCTCGACTAAACTTCTGCTCCACGCCTCCGTCACTCTCCTCCCGGCTGTGAGTATGATGGTGTGTTTGGTGTCTATGTCCGCTTGTGCTGTGCTGCCCCTGGTTGTGCGTGTCGCGGTTTGTAGGTTGGTTCTGTCTCTGGTTTCTCTTTTGATGTATTGTTCCCATTTGGCGATGATCATGCCTGGTGGCGTTCCTGTCCACATGAGTATGCATTGTGTTGCTCCCTGTGTTATTGCTTTTCTGATGATGGTGTGAAGGGCCTCCGAGGTTGTTGAGGTATATTTTTCCATGTTGGGTACAATCAACTATTCTACTGGCGGTTGTGCTGTGTTGTTGACCAGCCTTTTGGCAAACGTTCCAATGTTTGGTATGTCGTGTTGTAGCTGCCAATATTCCTCCTCGCTGGTGCTAGCTGTTAGCATGATGGTTCCTCCCAGTAGTTCGAAGCTGTCCACAATGGTGTCTAGGGATCTTCCAATGATCCATGCTGCTCTTGCAGTGTCGCATATTTGCGCTAGTTCTGTGCGTGTTGTAATCCGGTCGCCTCTCACAGTGGGTAGTAGGTGCTGTCTGGGCCAGGGCGGTGCTTCGTCTTCTCTGAGTTTCCATTCCGCTGCAATGATTGGGTTGTCTGTGTGGGCTTCTTCCGTATTCCTCCATGTGCTTGGTATGCCCTCGTATCTTGACAAGAGGTCACATTCTGTGAGCATCTTTGCTGGTCAGTGAACGCTAGTGAAGATGAATGCCAATAGCTCTAGTTTCCATTGTTGCAGTGTGTGTGTGTGATGTCGTATTTGCCTTCAAAGAACTTGGTTAGTCCGTTGCAGTTTGTGATCCACGTAAATTCTTTTCCGATGAGCCATTGTCTGAAGTTCTTCATCGCCCATCGACCTGTTGCTGCTTCTCCTACAAAGGAATGGTTGTCACGCTCTTTGCCCTTGCATATTCTCGATATGAATGCTATGGATCGGAGTCTGAGTTTTGACATTGATTTGTCAAACTTGCATTTTCCTCCTTCGATCTCTTTCCTCATTGATTCTTCTGCTTCTTCTGTCGTGTCCGCTTGCAGGAGGACCGCTCCCATGGCGTTGCTTGACCAGTCCGTTTTCAAGTAGAATCGTCTCTTTGGATTGGGTCTCTTCAATATTGGTCCTGTGACAATAGCTTGCTTGAGTTCGTCCAGCGTTTTGTCGTCCTGTGGCTCCCAGTGTGCTTTCACTTGTTCTGCTTCCTCTTCTTTTGTGCATTCTCCGGGCTTTGGTTTGTCCATCACCATGGTCCTCCACCGTTGGATCTTTTCCTCTAGATGTGGTATCCATTGGGAGTACCATCCAA